CCGAAGTCATTGCCGCTGCCTTAGCCGATGCTGTTGAGGCCTTAGGCGGTGCGCTCGTTGTTGTCGCTGCCTGCGATGATGATTTGGCAGAGTTAGCCTTCGCATTGGCCTTGGCAGTAGGGCTGCCTCCATTCCCTTTCACAGGACACCCCACTTGTTGATGCTGCCGACTACCACAACTCCAGCACCTCCCTTGCTTCTCCTTCCTAGTGAAGGCATGTGACCAAGTACAGTTGGCCCCCTTTGAGCATCCAGCATCTGTGAGGAAGAACTTGCAAGGAAGGAGTCCCGCCTTTGCCTTGGCCTTTGGAGAGGGCGAGCCGCCAAGGCCTGCCTCTTGAGGTGGTTTAGCGGATGGAGGTATTCCAGCACCATCGATTGCCTTCACGAACGGGGTGCCAGAACTACTTGGGGGGCCACCCCTGTGCGCCACCTGCTCAAACTCAGACATGAGGGCATTGTGGAGATCCCATACCCCCCTTTCTGTTGGCCTCGTGTCCACCTCCAGGTTATAGCGAAGCATGCTGATGCGGAAGCTGATGTCCGGGTAATCCAGCAGTGGTTTCTTTGTNNCATCCAACGTCCCCACCTTCTCAAGCAAGACACTGCCTCATTGGCATTGGCAGCCGGCATAGGAGACTCCAAAGAAGCCAACACTTGCTGCCTCTCCACCACCGAGCCTGGACGATAAAGAACCACCACCCTAGCTAATATGGCCAAGGTGCCGCTCAGTCGAGAGGCCAAAAGCTCCTCCTTCACGGAGTCTGGACAGCTCGCCATAAGCATGGCCACTGCACGTTTGTCCACACGCGCCCATCGCGGGTCCTTCAGCTCGGCCGACTCATAGTCTTCAGGGCGAAGAGCAAGCTTCCCAACATGAGAAGCCCGAGTGTAGGCCTCATAGTAGGCCTTCAGACATTGCATAACTTCACGCCACCACAAACCACTGGCATTAGAGAGATCCCCCATGTAGTTTTGAATGCCATGGAGCCAGTCCCCGATGTCAATTGCAGAGTTCGTGGAAATTTCCGGTAGCCTTGGAAGATCCACAGCTCCAGGCTTCACAATCTTGGGCTCCCTAGCTTTCTGACTCAAGGACTCCTTCATTGCCGTTTGAAGTTGCGTCATCCCCTGCACTAGCAATCCAACTGGATCCATAGCGCTTGTTGGCGCCTTCGGGACTTCTGCTTGCCCCGCATTAGTAGGAGGCTCGTGGGGACCAGTTCTGAAACCTGAGTCTCTGCCCTCTGATACTCCAAGAGGATTGCCGCCTTCATGGTTTCGACTTCCACACTGGCCAACAGGATTGCCCCCAAATACACCAGGACCCTCTAGGAGATTAGGAGGAGCATCCAAAACTCCCCTAGGACCGCCCTGAACTTCATGACCACCACCCAAGCGCCTTCCATCAACAGGTTGCCGAAGAGGACCTTCATCTGGTTGCCGTCCAGATGCCTGATCAAGGCCAGGAGGAATTCCTACACGTACCTCTTGTTGTAGCGGAGGGACGTTTCCCTGTGGTTCCCCAAGAGTTCCTTGATGAGCATGGTCCCCTTGACCCTGTAATCGGGGCTGGGCAGACTGAACGAACTGTTCCAACAGTGACTTCAGCTTCGCATTCTCAGACTCTAAGGCTTCACGCTGCTTATGGAAAGTTTGCATCTCCATGGCCACCTGTTTCTGCACCTCATTCAACACCTGCTCCCGTGTAAGTGAACCCGTAGAGGAATCGCTAGGTTGCTGAGGAGAAGGGTTCAGTAACGGGCCCTGTCTACGCCATCGTCTCTCCCACTGCTGCATTGCACTCTCGGCTTCCGGAGAGAGGAGTCCTGGACG